ATTGTAGCTAGTGATGAGCTCATTATGTATCCCCTTAAGTTTATCATATTTTTCTTTAAGCTCTTTCTTAGAAGATTTGAGCTCCTTGAGTTTAGATGACATAGCATCATTTGCTTCTCTAAGCTCAACACTAGCCTTTTTTGCTATGTCACATTTAGCTAAAAGAGAGTCATTCTTAAGTTCTAACTTTTTATTCTTAGCTCTTGACTTTCTAATGATCTTAGTGTATTGATTTAGCAATTTAACAAGATCATCATATGAAGATGATTCAAATTCATCATTACTATCACTATAATCATTACTAGCATGATCATCACCACCACTATCATCATCATTTGATACCTTTCGTTCACCTTTGGCCATAAAGCATAGGTGTGTAGAGAATGATGGTGGTGGTGTCGGTGAACATGATGAAGAGTCAATCACAATGGTGGCCACCTTCTTGTTGTCACTATCATCATCGGATGAGCAACTTGATGAATCAATGTCCGTGAGCCAATCACCGATGATATATGCCTTGCCATTTTTCTTCTTTTTGTGGAAATCCTTCTTCTTGCCATCTTTCTTCTTGTATGGCTTATTTTTTTTCTTCTCATCTTCATCTTCATTACTTGAGTCATCTTTCTTGCCCTTGTACTTCTTCCTGTACTTGTCTTTCTTAGGCTTGGGGCATTGATGTGCTAGATGACCAAGTTCTCCACAATTATAGCAATCCATCTTCGAGATTGTCTTCTTTCTATTGCTAGTAAAAACTTCTTTTTCTTCCTATCAAACTTGACGCCGTTCTTGTTGAGCTTCTTAAGCATCTTGGCGGTTCTTCTCACCATGAGAGCAAGACTTGCATCATCAATTTCATCATCACTTGAGCTCTCATACTCAATTCTTGCTTTGCCCTTCTCTTGGCTAGCCTTGAATGCCAAGTCTTTGTCTTTCTTTTTGGTAGAGGATGAGACATCTTGTGGTGTGATGTGCATGTACATCTCATGAGTGTTGATCTTTTCCAAGATTTGAGTTGGTGTAGCGATGGAAAAATCACCTTGATGAAGCACGGTCACAATATGCCCATATTTGTCAATGGGGAGGACACTTAAGATCTTTCTTACCAAATCAAATGGTTGCATTTGTGTAAGTCCAAGCCCATTGACTTCCTCTACAATAACATTTAAGCGTGAGTACATTTTATTTGCACTTTCTTTAGGAAACATCTCGAAAGAAGTAAGCTTTTTCATGACAAGATGATAGCGTTCCTCACGCTTGTTCTTTGTTCCCTTATGGAACACACAAATGTCCGACCATAATGCATGGGCGTCCTTGTGGTTCCTCACACGGTTAAACATATCTTTGCAAAGGCCTCTAAAGATGGTGTTTCTAGCCTTTGCATTCCATTTTTCGTAATTCACTTCATCCCCTTGAAGGTGCGTGGGATCCCTAGGTTTTGGAAAACCTTGAGAGGTGGCTCTAAGAATTCTAACATCTAGAGCTTCTAAATACGCCTCCATGCGGATTTTCCAAAAAGGAAAATCATCTCCCTCAAAGATAGAAGAAGGTCCATCCCTGTGGGACATCTTTCTCTAGACGGTTAAGCCTAATTACGTGAGCATGAGGCTCTGATACCAATTGAAAGGATCAAGATGCCCAAGAGAAGGGGTGAATTAGGTTAATTCTAAAATTATTTGCAATAATTAAACCCTAAACTTAGCCCACTTCACCCCTTGTGCCTAGAATATGTTCCTATTGATCTACCGTACAAAAGTTTAGCACCCTATGTTCCAATGCTACTCTAGCATGGTAATTCTAAGAATGTAAAGACAAGAATTGAATTGCTCAAAGGTAAATGCTTAAAGTAAAGAGAGAATAAGGAACGCAGCGATATTTTACCGAGGTATCGGAGAGTCGCCACTCCCCACTAGTCCTCGTTGGAGCACCCGCGTAAGGGTGTAGCTCTCCCTTGATCCGCATAAGAATCAAGTGCTCTCTACGAGTTGATTCTTTGACACTCCATCGCGGTGAATGACCCGCAACCGCTCATAACTTGAGTTGGGTCATCCACAAGCTCCGTCGGATGATCATCAAACTCCCAATCACCACCAAGCCGTCTAGGTAATGGCGATCACCAAGAGTAACAAGCAAGGACTCTCACTTGACCACAACAAGCCTAATGAGAAGGGTGGATGCACACTTGCTACTCTCTTTTTGCTAATGAGGCTTTAATATTGGATTCTCAAATCTCAATCACCTCACTAGGCTCTTGCTCTCCTTAGCACTCTCAAGGGTGTTTCTTAGCTGTTGAAATAGGCAAGAGTACTCTCTTGAATGAATAGAGGAAGTATTTATACCCTCTCATTCAAAACGAACCGTTATGTGCCTCTGCGGGGTGACCGGACGCTCCGGTCAATTGTCTCCGCCAACGAGTCGTTAAGTTGTGACCGGACTCTGACCAGCGTTTGGTCAGCACTGACCGGACGTGTCCGGTCACAAAAACTGCTCTCTGGAACCTTACTAATGTTGACCGGACGGTGGCACCCAGCATTCGATCACTTTGCTGCTCAGCGTCTGGTCAGTAACCAAAACCGGACCAGCGTCCAGTCAGCACTGACCGGACGCGTCCGATCAGCACTGACTGGACGCGTCCACTCAGGATTCTCCCTCTCTGGAACCTCTCTGGTATTGACCGGACTCTGGCACCCAGCGTCCGGTCGCTTTTCACTTAGCGTCCGGTCGCAACCAGACGGCTCCAATTGGTCAAATGAACTGACCGGACTCTACTGCCAGTGTCCGGTCACACCGGGACCAGCGTCCGATCAGCATTTGACCCTCCATTCACTTCCAACTCGAAATTCTATGTGAATGAAGTTTGCTTCAATTGATCTTCGGGCTACTTTGGAGCTACCTAATGCTAGATTTGACAAGTGTGCACCACACCTAACCCACTAGATTCACCTAGGTCAAGCGACTAGTCCATACCCCCTTAATAGTACGGCCAAAGGAAAAACAAAGTCCTAAACTACTCTAAGTGTCTCTTCAACACCAAACGACATTTAGAAGTAGTCCATCCTTAACCTTATCGTCCATCCTTTGAAAACTGGAATGATTTCTATCGTAGGAGCATGACAACCATGATTGCCCAATCAATTGTCATTACCATGACCTAACTTAGTTGCCTCTACAAAACACACGTTAGTCACAATAATCTAGTATTGTCATTAATCACCGAAACCCAACTAGGGGCTTAGATGCTTTCATGGTGCACTGTGGTCATGTTTGGTTCCCCTCCACGCACGTTTTGCCCGCTTCGTTCCATTCATCTGCCCCCCTCCATCCCGCACGCCTCCGTCTTCTCAATTTCACATTCCCTCGCGAGCCGGGATGGCTTCATACACGCATGGTGCAGGGGCCCCATGTATCAGACACTCAAAACTTTGATGCATGCGTGCAACCAAACGCGATCTTGTTTCGTACTAAACCAACAACAAAGACAACCAAACACAGCAAAGTGCATAGTCTTATCATGGCTGAAAAGAGCCTGGACAGCCACTCCATCCCGGCTCGCTGAACCTTTAGCAACCAATCACGCCCTGAGAAGACGGAGCCGTGCGGGATGGTGGAGGGCAACGGAATGAAACGAAACAGGCAAAACGTGCGAGACGGGGAACCAAACACGACAAAGAAATGAGTTGAAAGAGGCAAATGGTGCAAAGATGGTCTGGTTCAGGCAACCAATCAGCCCCTTAATGTTCTCTCAGACCAAGCGGGGGCAGGCGCCCAGTATCACATCCAAGAGGCTCCGCCACTGCTCGCCTGGAGAGGTTCTTTCTCCTGATGACACAGCGTAGTCGCACACTCGCACTGGCGCAACAAGCTCTCAAGGATCACGATTGGCAACGCACCCAACCTGCACATGGTGGGATATTGGATATTGGCCCCCAGGAGCAGAACGGACTACAGATTGGCAACGCCGTAATCGAGGTACCAATATAAATGTCAATCCTAATTTTCATGTGCTCCGTTGTGTAGTTGCCCCAATATCAAATCAAATATGTGATCTTAATTTCTGATTTGGGGCTTGTTTAGATGCAAAAAAATTTGCAAAATGAGTACTGTAGCATTTTCGTTGTTATTTGGCAAATAGTGTTCAATCATAGTCTAATTAGGCTTAAAAGATTCGTCTCGTGGATTTCGTCTAAACTGTGTAATTAGTTTTATTTTTTATTTATATTTAATGCTTCATGCATGCCTCCAAAGATTCGATGTGATGGAGAATGTGAAAAATTTTGCAAAATTTTTTGCAAACTAAACTGGACCTTGGTGTATTACATTTGCACATTCGCACTGCAGACAGGGACTATGGTGAGAGCAAGCACCATCATGCCGAATGTCCAGATCTTGGCTTTGCAGGTGCATTTCGAGCTCTGCAATGAAGTCAAGACAGTGCTTCATTCCTCAAATGCTTTCCCAATGCAGAGACGCTGCATATGAGTATATCAAATTCTCAACTTTTTCTTTTTCTTTTTCTTTTTTCTTTTTTATTTGCTTTTTGCCTTAATTTATAAACTTTAACGGCGACTTAACCGAAATGGTAGAAGTCTTTAACAGAGTAATCTTTCGATACTATCCAATTTTTCCAAATAAAAAACATGTTTATATCACTACAACTCTAGAAGAGAGTCCGGGTCCGGTGCTCGAAACCACGGCCCACGAACCTACTAGCCTGCCAAGGAGCAGATACTCCCAGTCTCCCACACTCTTCGCAGCACCGTCACTCGGCTCCCTAAACACACTGTGCCACCGCGCCGTCGGTGCGTCCCTGCAGTTGCGCAGCACCCCCAAAACCCTAAACCCACAGATCCCTCTGTTGGATCTTCACGTAAAAAAAAATCGAAATATTATTCCAACTGATTTATTATGATTTATTACAAGAAAAAAATACTGCTAATCAGAACACAAGCGAACAGGCCCATAATCCCATTCCGCTGGGCGCCGGCAGCTCGTTGGCTGCTGCCATGGCCTCGCCGGCGCCGCCAATCGCCGACCCCCAGGCGCTGGAGACGCTCCCGTGCCTCACCGATGAGCTCCTCGAGGAGATCTTCCTCCGCCTCCCCACGGCCGCCGACATCGCACGCGCCTCCGCTTCTTGCACTTCCTTCTGCCGCATCATCACCGACCGCAGCTTCCTCCGCTGGTTCCGCGCCATCCACCCGCCCCCTCTCCTCGGCTTCGCCGCCTACGAGGGCTTTCACCCCGCCCAGCCGCCCCACCCCTCCGCGACGCTTGCAAGCGCCTTCGCCGATGCCGCTGACTTCTCCTACTCCTTCGTCCCCACTGGGAGGTGGCTCACGCCCTGGCATCCACGCGACGTTCGACAAGGCCGCGTCCTCCTCGAGTGCACGCCCGAATGCCAGCCCGCGCTTGAATACTTTGACGCCGTCTTCCTGAGGGATCTTGAGCTTGCGGTGTGTGATCCCATATCCCGGCGATACAGGCTGCTCCCTCGCATACCCAAGCAGCTAAGAGCTCAGCACAAATCCCTTGTTGATTACGGGCTCTTCTTCGCTCCTACTGGGGAAGATGAGGAGACAACATTCAGAGTGGTATGTATGGCGTGTAACAAAACTAATCTTGTTGCGTTTGAATACACGTCCATTACTGGACAATGGAATATCCTTGCATGTCTCAGCTGGAGGTGTCCTTTGGGCATTGGCACGCCGTATAACCGGTACAGCTCCTCTTGTGTTGATTATGAGAAGGGATGTTTCTACTGGGTGGTGCCTTGGAGGAACAACTTTCTTGTGCTTGATGGGCTCAGCATGAAGTTATCCATTGTCAACAACAATCTGGCTAAGTACGATCTGTGTGAAAGCGGGATGCCTCTCATAGTAAGGGGTGGAGATGGAACTGCGGAGGTGTTTTTTCCTGCCGATTGCTTTGGAGATGGTCCAACTGACCTATTTCGCTTCACTAAGCAAACTGATGGTGGATCTTCAGATGAATGGAAGTTTGAGAATATGGTATCATTGCCAAGCCAGTACAATTATTTTACCTTGGGTGCAGCTGATGGATTCTTATTCCTTCGTGGCATTCTGCAAGATCAGCACTCAGGGTACTCGTCTGAGGACTCTTTAGACAACTCAGCTCACTTGTCGTTGGAATCGCCAGATGTGGAATATTTTTCATTTGACCTCAAGACTTCTGAACTTAAGAAGGTCTGTGTGATGAAGCGGTATTTCCACACTCTCTATCCATTCTATGGCTACCCACCACCTTTGGCAGAACCAACTATATGAACTGGTAAGCTTGCTGTTGCCTATGAGTGTCTATTATGTATTCTGCAAATATTTGGTCATTCCCTCATGTTAAGAAGTTTCTTTCTTATGTTGGTTGTGGTTCACCACCCTACCTATTTTATGTAGAGGGGAAGCATAAATTATATAGGTTCTATCTTCAATATCGCAATTTTGCTTTGCTGCTGTTTGACTATCGGCTTATATATAAATTATGAGATGGTTACTGAATGTTGTTCTATGCTAAAGTAATGCAAACTAGCAAAGGTTGCTGTCATGTTCAGTTGTCATGCATGTCATCAGCTTAAGGCTTCTGGGAAAAATGAAAGAAGCAATTTTGTGATAGGAAAGCATTTAGCCATCTGGAGTTGTGGGATATTATTTCATAATTGATAATTCTTTAGAACTCACTAGAGAAAAAAAATGTTTATATGGTTTTATCCAAAAATGTTTGATGATAAACATATGTTTAACTTGCCACATATCTTTGGACCCTTAGCTGAAATAGTTATAGGGCAAAAGTTATCATCTAGAATTCTGCTTGTTTTACTGTTTTCTTTAGTACATAGGTCTTCCGTTTGATCCTAAGGGAGGTAGGGAAGGAGTTTCAACCCATATACCATGAGGAGGTTCTAGAGATGCTTAATGCACGCATAATAATTGTATCAAAACTCGCCCGACTAGGTGAGTCAATAGGGTAGGTATGGTGCCCAAACTCATGGAAAATAGGGCTGGTCTTGGCAATGAATGTGCCAAACTCTTAGAAAGACACTTTAGTAAACTTACTAACATGCTTTTTTGAGGCGTCGCCTAGGTGTTGAGGCGTACCCTAGGCGCCGCATGACGCCACAGGGTTTTAGTTACGCCATTGCCTAGGCGTCCAGGTGTACCCCCAGCGCCACAGGACGCCGCAACGCCTAAAAAACCATGCTTATTAAGACTAACTCAAATTACCAATCGGGCTGTGAAAGGCTATGTTGTTGTTGTTGTTGCCTGTGAAACAACTACATTGATTAGTCAATGGGCATGGGGGTATTTAAAACACATAAAACTTGCAAGTGTTAGACTGTAGGGAAAGTGAGATGTTAGTGGGTATTTGTAAACCCCCTGGCTTGCAATTAGTTAAAGGGCAGCCCCAGTGCACATAGCTCCCGCTTGCGCAGGGTCAGGGGAAGGGTCCGACCACTTGGGTCTTTTGTACGCAGCCTTTCCCTACATTTCTGCAAGAGGCTGTTTTCAGGACTTAACCCGTGACCACATGGTCACAAGGCAGCAGCTTTACCACTGCGCCAAGGCTCGTTTTTCTTTTTTGCAATTTTCCTTAAAACTAACAAGTTGTGAACATTTAGATTAGGAGAATGCCACATGTAAGTGGATGTTGAGAACTTCTCCAATGACCAATATAGTGGAGGATAATAGTTTATAATTATTTGATTGTCGGTTCATATGTCTACAAGCAAACCTGTAAAATGTGCTATTAGATTGGGCTTGACTATGTTCGCACCTTCTGCCAGATTATCTCAGCATGTCTTTAGCTGTAACATCTTATTTTTAGAGAAATACAGTTGGGGCTTTAGTTTTAGCATCTTGTATAGATTTTTTTTTACCAGTTGTTTTTATGATGCCACCTCCCCCCCCCCATGGATCATGTTGAATTGTGTGACCTTTTTCATTTAGTTGTTCTATTAACAGGAATTCATGTTGAAGTTAATGGCCGCAGACTGTATATCTTTGTTGAAGTTGATGTTTTAGCTTCTGAGTTCATTGTATCACAGGCTAGCGTGAATTTATTCATTCTCTATCTGCTATTGGTTGCTTCTTATTCCTTGTTCATGACAATTGGCAAACACAAACTGTGCCAGCCTCATGCCAATTCTTAAGATGATACTTATTTCAGCTCTGTACTATTCTCTTTTCCGGTTTGGGTCAATGTAGAAACTTAGTCTGTTCAAGGGAATTGTAGGATAACTTGTGTCCTCTATTTTCTTAGACTGGTTAGTGGGTACTCATTGTAATTTTTGCTGAAGCCAATGCTGACCCCTGCATATTTTTGAATAAAGAACACATATTCTGGTTGCAAACTTTTTCTCCACATGATCCAGTGTACCTGTGAGGGAATTGACTAATTCATATGGATCGGTTCTTGAATTCAGTCTAAGTTCAGCAACCCAGTCTGTTTCAAATGAATCTTTCTCTTGATAATAATGTTCTTTTGATGTCTTCGCTAACCGTTGCCATACTTTTAGGGTTTGTTTGGTTGCTTGCATTAGCTTGTATCCAGACTTGTGCAGTGCAGTTTATCCATGTTTCGTTGCCTGCATAGGCCCTTATGCAGGCTTGCACAATGCTCAAATCAGATCCAATGTTGCATTTGCTACTACGTCAAAAAAAGAATTTTCTCCTCCCTCGCCTATACTAGAACATGGAAGTAACCACATGTAATAGAATTTAACCAACCGAAAACAATCTAACTTTGTGTTTGCAAGTGCAGGACAACCAAAGACCAACACATTGCATATATTTATACTAGCTTGGGTTATGTTGCATAAGGCCTAATACAGGCTAAGGCTAGTGCAGGCAACAATTACCCCCCTTAGGCCTTGTTTGGATGCGCATGTATTCATCTCAATCCACGTGTGTTGAAGTGGATTGGAGTGGAATTAAACTAAATTCCATTCCAATCCACTCCAACACATGTGGATTGAGGTGAATACACATGCATCCAAACAAGGCCTTAGTGATTTTGGGCTTCAATGCCTTCATTGGTTGTTCACATGCCTTATTTGCTTTTTCTGGAGTTATGAACCTTTTAAACTGTTTTTTTTCTAAACAAAATACTTATTATGAAATTGTGGATGTAAAAGATTTTTTTTCTTGCAGCCATGGCTTCTAGCCCTAACTAAATATATCTACAGGGTTAATGTGCTTGCTTTTGGGACCTCAGTTTGGTTATTTATTCATCTTATTATGTTTCTGAGGAAGGATGGAGGATGGTCATGGGCTCATGGCCTCTTGGGGCTGCGCATCTTCTGGTGGATAAACTCTAGCCTTGGCAATATAATTCTCCTAAAAAACTAAGTTATCTTGTAGTAGTAGTAGTAGTTTATCTATGTCCACATGACTATATGCAAGCAAGACATGTTATAATCGGTTGAAGAAAAACGTTTATGCTTTGTAATTGTGTTGCCCTCTTGTCTGCCTTGTTACGAGATGTTTAGGCGGAATTCTGTTATGAGAGTTTGAATTCCGTGGCCCGTGGGTCGTATGGCACATGCCCAGATCCACAGACTCGTCTTATCGGCCGGTCTGTGCGAGCCTGCTAGCCTTCTAGAGCATGGGCTGACTCATGTAAGATGGGTTTATATCGAGAGAATTACCTGTAAGGCCCCGTGAAACTCACTTATACCGTCTATGGTCCTGAAAAGTGTAAAATTCCTTGTATGACATTGTATTCGAATTTTTATGCCCTATATGACACTACCTTTTGAGGCCAACATCGTTACTCCTTTCGTTCTGAAAAGAATACAACCATAGGTTGCGTGCCAGCATAAGTGGTTCATGTTTGACTAAATTTCTAGTAAATACTATTTACAATTACGGCTTCAAAATAATTTATTATGAAAATACATTTCGTAGTTAATCTAATGATATTTATTTTATATCATAAATATTAATACTTTCTTATCTATAATTGATCGAACTTAGGATACTGAAGCATGACACTTTGCTAGAATTGCGTTCATTTTTTTGGACGGATGGAGTAAGTCTTATGCGAAATAGCTAGAATACCCCTGTTCTAAAAAATACATTGATTTCTTAGATGACACTGCAATATACTTGTTCTCTTTATGACATTGCTTATTTTTATGCTTTATTTGGACATTAAAATTCATCCACGTTATATTAATGTGCTTAAAATTTGCAAATACTTTTGTTTTTCTAATATGCGTTATTTAAGCATTACAGTCCATCCATGTTATAGAACTGTGGTTAAAATTTCTCAAAAAATTGTATTGTTGGTTTGCATTATTTATAATAAAATTCATCCACGTTATAGACAACAGATCTCAATATAATAAATTGGTTCAAACACTTCTCTAGGTCTGAAACAAGTGATTTCTGCAATTGCTTAGAAAAGCCATAGGCCCTGGGACAATAGTGGTGTGGTGCGGTGCATCCGTCTCGCGGGGCGTGCTATGCGCCGACCTAGGGGCGCCGAGTCGCCCGCTGACCAAGACGACGATTGGGCCTCGCGTGGCCCACTGCAGCCCACCAATGCGCAGCCTTCTTCCTCGCAATCACCATCGCCACCCACGGCTTCTTCCTCGTGACGCGTCGGTGCTTGGGCGGCTTCTTCCTCGCGACGTGCCGGCGCCACCCCGAAGCCCAACGCTGCGGCCGTGCTAGGGTTCGTCGGAGCTCCGCGGCCGTGGCGACCTCCTTCTTTCCCTTCCTTCTCCCGCTGCCGCCATGGCCATGCTCGCCGGCGACCATCGCCGTGACACCCCGCCCCGACCTAGCCCGGTCGCCTCCGCCCCCGCCAGCTCCCCTAAACCGCCCGCCAACAATCCCCACCGTGATTTTTTTAAAATTTTAACACTTTTTGTACACTATTTTTAAATCTAACACTGTTTAATTTTTTTCTTCAAATCTAACACTTTTGGCCGCGCCTATTCACATGGCGCGGCGAAACGCCTGTGCCGCACCATGCATGGTGGCGCGACGGGAGGGATGACGTGGCGACGACCGGAACGCTGACCGGTGACGTGGCAAGGTCTGCCGCGCCATCGATCTTGGCGTGGCGCCACCGCGCCATCCCTCGCGGCGCGGCAGTCGCTGTCAGGTCGATTCAAACAGTAACGTCTGAGCTGTCGCTGTCGGCAGTCCCTCGCGGCGCAGTGCAGTACTGGCACCGGAAAGGAGAGCGGCCTTTTGGACGGACACGGAGCGCGCGCAGTTTGTCCACCCCCACAAGTTGCCTCTGAGCTGTCCTTCACTGATGG